GTTTCCGTGTTTTTCGGAGGACCATTGGGAAACGAAATCCCAATCAGCTGACCGAGTTTCGCTTCTAAATCGCTCTACTACTATAAACGAAAAAAACTATTAAACGTGGCCGCCCGACTTGCTAGACACTCAACAAATCACGGGGAATATATTACGACTAGCACGGGCCCCCGAAATGTTATTATTTATATATATTTGATTTACGTCATTTGGCGTTTTCATGCCTTGACCCGGACGTCGCACTATCCGACGAAGTCAGATTGCCTACCAGGGTTACTACGTCCAACGTCGAGGAAGGTGACTGAACCGCTAGACACCAAGACATATACCATTTATTTTGCACGTGACCCATTACTTAATTTTGCGTCAGAAGTCACGCGTTGTCCGCTATCCGACGCTAGACCCTAGATGCCCTGCTAGACCCCAAAACATATTTTCGAGTAATTACGTCGAGGAAGGGGACTCGGTAGTCGGATTGCTTACGAAATGTTTTGAATTTTCATTACTTCATTGATTTGGTGTCTGTAATGGACGCTGTCCCGGCCGCATATTGCCTACCCGGATAACGTAGATGGGTGACCTGCTAGACACCAAAAGTCAGAAGGTGGCTATATGATTTGAATGGACAACCGAAATATTTTGAATTTTCATCACGTAATTTATTCTTTAATTTTGCGTTTTCGGTAACAGTAATGAACGTCGTCCGCGATTCGACGCAGTCGGATTGCATACCCGATGACGTGACCCGGCCGTCGCACATTGTCCGCTATCCGTCCAAGTCGGATAGCCAACTCCTATTATTATAGCGAATGCCATTCGAGGTGACTGACCTGCTAGACACCCTAAAAAATACGGCGGCTATATGATTTGCATGGACGTCCGAAATTTTTTAAATACTTTTCAAGTAATTTATTACTTTTTTTGCTTTTTCGGTAACAGTAATGAACGTCGTCCGCGATTCGACGCAGTCGGATTGCATACGTGATGACGTTCCCCAGCCGTCGAGTATTGTCGGATTGCCTTCCAGGGTGACTACGACCAAAGTCGAGGAAGGTGACTGACCCGCTAGACCCCAAATACTATTACTACGGCGAACGTCATTCGAGGTGACTGACCTGCCAGACACCCACAAAAATACAACGACGATTTATAATTTTTTTACGGAATTTTGACTTTCCGGCGGCAGTAAAGAACGTTGTCGTCGAACGTTGTTGCTTACCGGGGGGCTACCGCGTCGAACCACGGTGGACCTAACCTTATCAGAGTTCCTTATCACACACCCACCAGCTCGAGAGTCGAGACTGACGACCAGACCAACAAACCACTGCAGCTTCCGAAATCGAAAACACTCATGACCGACACCCGGGGGTATCCCCCAGCGACGCTCGGAGAGCTAGTCTCTATCTCTATACTATAAAGCAAGAAACCGAGGGCGCCGCCTATGCGTTAAATCCGAACCATCGTAAGAGAGAGCCAATGAGAAAATTCGATTTCCCCGGAGGGCGGTCTCCCGGCGGCGGCGGAGCCGTCGCTGCGTAATCAGCCTTTCTTATCACTGTTTCGAGATTTTTTCGAAATTTATCGAGTTTTTCGAGTTTTACCCCCTCGGGGGGCCCGGGGTCTCCCCGCTGTGACCTTATTCGCGTTCCCCGCTAGATTTACAGGCCGCGCGCGGCCGTATTTTCTTCCCGGCGGGCCCGCGGCGGCCGATCTCGCGCGCGATACGAGCGCCGCCGTCGCGCGCGTTTTTCGCCGAGTTTTTCGAAATATCGAGTTTTACCCCCCTCGGGGGCCCCGGGCGGCCCCGTTCGCGTTATATTCGCGCTCCTCGCTATATTTGTAGCCGGCGCGCTATCCTACTTTTTCAAAAATGAGTCCCCTCATCCGACTAGACGGTCGCCGACGCCGCGGCGTCGTCACGATTTCGACGGTTTTTCCGACTTTTTCCAACAGAGTCGCGTTTCGCTTCGTTTGTAGACTTTTCACCTCCCCGCCGAAGACGTATTCGAGTTCCCCGCTAAATTTATAGCCGGCCCGCAGTCCTACTTTTTCAAAAACGAGTCCCGGGGAGGAGCGGCGACGCGCAAACGAGAGTAGGTACCGAGTGGGTACGTCGTGTGTGTGCTATATACAGGCATAAATACATGCGTCTCGACGTCCGATTTTTTTCGCGAATCCCACCGAATCTCGAATTTTACCCCCCTCGGGGGCCTCGGGTCTCCCCGTTTGCGTCTTATTCGCGTTCCTCGCTAAATTTGTAGTCGGCGAGCTGTCCTACTTTTTCAAAAACGAGTCCCGGGGAGGAGCGGCGTCGCGGAAACGAGAGTAGGTACCGAGTAGGTACATTTTGGGTATCGCTATATACAGGCATAAATACATGCGTCCCGACGATCGATTTTTTTCGCGAATCTCACCGAAGACGGTCGTCCCCTTACCGACGCGTTCGACCCCCCCGCTCGGACGCCATTTGACGGACGTGGACGCCGCTTTCCAGTTTCGGGTGCACGGCGACGCGGCTTAATAGTCATAGATTTGACACGATATTTCATCTGAGTAGGTAGTCGATAGGTTAGGGCGCTAGGACATGTAACTAGGGGTCGTGGGTTCGATACCGTCCCCCGGCGATATCGAAGATTTGCGGCGGCCGTGATAATCTTGAGTTTTTTTTCGCGTTTTTTTTTTCGTCTTTTCTCAATCAGTTCCGTATTATCATATTTAAATAGTCCCCCCTCATAGTCGGGGTACTTTTGACCCCCCCCCCCAATCAAATTTTTTTTGGCCGAGCATAACTTAGCCGGGGATCGTCGTAGCCGTATTTTGTAAACGGCTATGGGTTGTGGGTGACCACGTGCATACCATATCAAAAATTACCCCCCCTCCTTTTTTTGATTTAAGTATATCTCTGTCACGTTCCGACTTGGGTCCCCCGTTTTACCACGTTTCAAGACCCTCTAAATAGTCCCCCCGTAGTCGGGGTACTTTTGACCCCCTCTCAAATTTTTCGGTGACAGTTATGAACGCCGTCCGCGATTCGACGCGATAATAATAACTGACTTACATGTATGCTTTGTCGTAGGTACCTATTAAATATATCACAGTTTGGTTGAGGTTGAGTTGTTGGTAATATTATGAATAACATATTGATATATATATATATATATATATTATGTGCTATTTATTATATACATGTATCTTTATACCTATTGATATATTTATATAATAACATTTTATAAAAATATATATATATTATACTATGTAGTAGGTACTTAATGTATTACAGTTTTTAGGTGAGTCAAATTATGTATATTTAAAATATAATCTAATGTGTTTAATTAAATTATATGACTATGCTATAACTATTTAATAAATAATAATAATAATAAATATTTAGTTAACACTGCTACAGATTATAAATACTATTTGATATAATATTTATAAACTAATAGATCTAATTGAAATGATTAAATTCTGGTAGTTAAATTGTACAATTATTATAATATACCTAACTACTCTCTTTGATATTATTTATATGGATAGGTTTGATCGTTTGATGTAGTAGATATTTAATATATAACTTAACGTATTTAAATATTACTATACTTATTAAACTATTTAATAAATAATAATAATAAATATTTTATTTACACTTGATTTTATCCAACGCACATATATGTTTCCTTTATACTTCAATAAACAATAGTGCAAGTACAATTTAACTACTAACCTAGGTACATGTATACTTTGTAGTAGGTACCTACTTATCATTGGTATTGGTTGGTATATAAAATATGTCTTTTTCTAATAGTTTGCATTGTGTGTTAAACGGTATAGTGTTATAATATATGAACTGGGCATATTGTAATATGTAAAAATTTAATTAGAAGAAGTAATAGTGAAATTGGTAAATAAGGTAGTTGGTCATAGGTTAGTACTCCATGAGTAGGTACATAACATTGATGGACTAATAGAGAGTAACTAGTATTGGTAACTAAGTAACTAAGTATTGGAAACAGAGGATTTCACTTCTAAGTATATAATAACAAATTATAAATATATATATATATATATATATATATAATATACTATGTAGTAGGTACTAAATTTTTAGGTGATATTAAAAATATGAATTATATGAATTTAGTCATATACTCATATCATATGACTATACTATAAGTATTTAATAAATATTTATTTATAATAAGTATTTAGTTAATACTTGACACATTTACCATGAACAACGCACCTATATTTTTCAAATAGTATATAATACTCTGATGGTTCAATTGTATAATGATATGACATAATTTGATATTACTCAATATAATATAGGTCTATGGTCTATCACGTATATTTATTTATTTAAATTTTTTTTTTCGTGAAGATCGCGTTTTTGCTGTCCGTCGCGGTAGGTTCGCCGGCTACGAGGCCCTTTGATGGACGTCAAAACATGAAATATATAATATATACTATGTAGTAGGTACTGCTGCAAATTCTATATAATCCGAATCAATTAACGAGCCTGGCAATAATTAAATTGCATAATTATAGGACTATATATTATATATGAGTATTGTTTAACATGGCCTGGATTATATTGGAATCAGGGGGGTCTAACTCTATACGGCGGGTCTGATATATACTTATAAGACACGCGACATACCATCCTAACAAAATTCCCAATTTTCCCAAACATAGGCAACACTGATATTGTGATTTAATTATTGGTGAGCTATCACCACAATATTCCCTCCCAAATAGTTCTGATAACGCGAACCCGAAAATCGAAATTGGTTCGTGCAAGGTGCAACTGAGTACTGACAACTGAGTCCCGACTCCCGAGTTTCGATTTTTGCTCCTTTGTGCTGTCCACGTCAACTGACTTAAAACGTGCCTTATTATAGATAGTTCCGATATCGCGAACCCGAAACTAGCTCGTGCAACCGTGTCTCGAGTCAAGAGTTTCAATTTCCGTTCCTTCGTGCTGTCCACTAATTTCAAATATGCCTTCAAATCGGTGTATGGTCATTGGATGTGATACTACGCACGACAATAAAAGTATTCTTAGACATCGCTTCCCGAAGAATAAGGAAACTTGTGACATATGGGTTGAAAGAACTGGAAACAATAAACTATTAAACAAAACTATTCAACAAATTTTTCAATCTTATGTCATGTGTGATAAACATTTTGATGATAGTTGTAAGAGCCCTGGTTTTAAGAAACTCGTTGTTGGTTCAATTCCAACTCTTAATCTACCAGGTAAAAACTTAATTAAAATTTATTATTATAAAAATCACACATCCAGAGGTGATACTGCCCTGTTATTTGTTAACTTGCAAAATTTTTAATTATATACAATAAATATTAAATATGCAAGCAGAACGCCTCTGGATAGTTTTAGTATATAATTAATATGATATTATATATTTATGTTTTATAGAAATAATTTTTATTGATTCTCCACATCAAACAATTTCTTAAAACATTGTTTTAAGATCTTTTTGTTGTTATTTTAAAATCTCTTCGTTTATGTTCAAGTGGTCTCATCTATATTTTACTTGAAATTTAAGTAAGTAAGTATTAAAAACAATAAATGGTTATATTATTTATTGAGATTAGCTATGTAATTTAAAATGATCAGTAGTTTGAAATGTATACAAAAGCATGCTTAATTAATTAAATTAAATGTTATAGTATGTTTTGAAAATAACTATACATTTATGTAATAAATGGTTATATTATTTATTGAGATTAGCTATGTAATTTAAAATGATCAGTAGTTTGAAATGTATACAAAAGCATGCTTAATTAATTAAATTAAATGTTATAGTATGTTTTGAAAATAACTATACATTTATGTAATTTAAATTATTAGTTTGAAATATATACAAAAGCATGCTTAATTAATTAAATTAAATGTTATAGTATGTTTTGAAAATAACTATACATTTATGTAATTTAAATTATTAGTTTGAAATATATACAAAAGCATGCCTATGAATTATTTTTTTTTAAATTAATTAATTACTAATGTTGTTTTATAATTATTTTTTTTAGATTCTTGCAATATGTCAGTTTCTGAAACAGCAGATACCTTTGATTCAACAGCTGTAATGGATAATGATGCACCTATTTATGAATATTGTAACATGACCGATATGTCAGTTACTGAAACTTCAGACCTGTTAAATTCAACACCTGTAATGGACAATGATGCATCAACTTATGAATATTGTAACATTAGCGATATGTCAGTTACTGAAACTCCAGACCCGTCAACTTCAACAATTGTAATTCACAATGATGTAACTACTCCAAATTGCAGAGAAATACCAATGAAACCTAAAAATTTGTTCAATAATGCCAAAGGTACCTTAGAGGAAATAAACACAACTCGTGTTAATGCTCTAACTCCTCGGAAGTCATTGCTGTATCATGCTTCTCAAAGATACAGACAAAGAAATTCAGTTCTGCGACAACGTTCTTTAAATGTAAAACAACGTATTTTAAAAGCTGAAAGATATATGCAAACAAATATAAAATCAATGGATAAATTAAATACATTTACACAAAATTTTATTCAATCACAAATACGTATGCAAGCTCAAAAACCTCGTGGTCGACGTTTTACTACCGATGACAAAGTATTTGCTTTATCTCTTTACAAACAAAGTGGTAAAGCATACAAAGTACTTTCAAAAATGTTTGCATTACCTTCACGCAAATGCATTTTAGATTTGTTAAAGAAGATTCCATTTGAAGCTGGTATAAACAAACGAATTTTTGAACATCTCAAGACTGCTGTACGGAAAATAAAACATAAACTTGATCGCTATTGTTCAGTGATTTTTGATGAAGTATCACTTTCAGCGTCCTTGCAGTATCTAGAGCAATATGATAAAGTGATTGGGTTTAAAGATTTTGGTGGTCAAAATCGATCATCCGATTTTGCAGATAAAGCTTTGGTTTTTATGGTCAGAGGATCACGTAAAAAGTTCAAGCAGCCAGTTGCGTTTTATTTGACTAATGGTAACATGAACAGTTCAAATTTATCAATAATTATCAAAGAAGTTATTAAAGCAGTTCAGTCAACAGGACTTAAAGTAGTATCTACCATTTGTGATCAAGCTCCTACAAATGTTGCAGCAATTAACCGATTACTTAAAGAAACAAATGAGAAGTATGCAACAGAAGATAAAGAAGGTCGAAGATTTGGTTTTGAAATAGGAACTCAAGAAATTATACCTCTCTATGATGTACCACATTTGTTGAAAGGTCTACGAAATAATTTAGTTTCAAAAGATCTTAATTTCACATATGATGATAAGCAGATGATTGCATCATGGAAACATGTCATTGAATTTTATGAACTAGACAAGAACCAAAGTACTGGAGGGGATCGTCTAGCCCCAAAGCTTACAGATAACCATATTTATCCTCAAAAAATGAAAAAAATGAAAGTTTCATGTGCTGCTCAAGTATTTAGCCAAAGAGTCGGTGCCATTATGAAAAGGTTGCCTGTGTTGTTGAATACATCAAACAATCAGAGTGTAGAGAAAAAAGTTCAATCTACTGTAGAAGATACCGGACACTTGTGTTTATTCATAGATAACTTATTCGATAGTGCCAATGGCAATGCAATTAAACCAGTTGCTGGAAAAGAATTGCGAAGTGCAGTTACTTTAAATTCTGTACATTGGGACTTCTGGCGTAAAGCTTTAATTGTTTTACAAAGTATGCAGTATGAGACAAAAACCAGAAAAGTAATTCCTTCTGTTGTAAACTGGATTAAAACTATTAAAGGATTACAAGTACTTTGCAAAAGGCTTCTTAATGATGGGTTCAAATACGTACTGTTAAGAAATTTTAACCAGGATCCAATTGAAAACTTTTTTGGTTCGATCAGAAGCCATGGTGTACGTAATATTAAACCAACATGTGCCAATTTTATAACCTCATTCAAGGCACTAGTTATTAATAATTTTACTTCAAATCATTCATTTGGGTCCAACTGTGAAAATGACGACTGTGATGGAGCATTAGACAACTTGAAGGAATTTATATTCAATGACATTCCGATTGATGACACTAATTTAGTGGACGACGAATTCAATTCAATTACTTTGAAGACTCCAGTTCAAGAATTTCGACCTTATCATATACTGAATTCAAATAGCAGAGCCTATGTTACTGGTTGGGTCATCAAAAAAATTAAAAAGCTCACAAAAAATTGTAATTGTTGCATGAAAATTATAACATCTGACCAAATATTAAAAGAACATATGGTGATAGAAACTCGTCAATATGACAACTGCAACTTGAGTTATCCAAATGATGTGGCAATGGATATTTTTAATTATTTAATAGAAATGTTTAATCTCAATTTTGATAAATTTGTATACAAGTGTAATTCTAAGGCGTCTTATAACTATTTAATTTCATATTTTATACCACCTAATTATTTCACTTGTCCAGAACATGATTTATTTAATATATTTTTGAAGACTGCTACTAATCTTCTAATTTATTCTTATATAACTCACATAAATAGAATACTGACTAAAGGTGAAAAATCTGTAACATCTGATCAGATAAAAAATAATGCTATGGTGTACCACGATAAATATGCAAAAAAGAAAAATGTATTATTAAGACAAAATGTAAATTATGTATAGTTAATTTTGTAAAAAAAAAAACATTTGTTTTATATGTATAGTTAATTATGTAAATAATAATTTTTAATATTGTAAAAAAAAAATATTTTGTTTTATATACCATATTTAATTATGTTAATAATATTTTTTAATATTGTAAAAAAACATTTGTTTTATATGTTATTTTAAAATATTTAAATAAAAGTATAATTTTACCTTGAAAAGAATTTTTTTTTTATGGAAAAACTTAAAAAAGGTGAATGGTAAATATAAAATAAAAATCGGTTCATTCGATAATCGATAAATAATGTTATCGATATACAATTATATCGATTTCTATCTACTATCGATAGTCAAGGTCTTAGTTGGTAAGACAACCACGTGGAGCGTTTGCATCAATGGTCATATCAAAACGTTCTACAGGAGTCGCCTTTCTATTTAATCTCTTTTCTATGATTGGAATACATACGATTATATTTTATGGCGGACAGTCAATAATCACGATAATATCAACGATACACGCAATGCTACAGTATGACCATTATTCATTGATACGGTTTGTTCGTCGGAGTGTTGACGACGTGCGGGGGACAACTTTTGCGACGCGAAACGCGCCTGCGTTTTCGAATGTCATCTTGTGACGAACGCCCGTGGAACGCACAACCAAAGCGCACAGAAAATCATATTTATAATATATAATATATTATTACTATTATTAGGCTTTTAGCTTTCTTAGATTTTCTTGGCGTATCGTGTTCTGCGTAGGGCGCTTTTCAAAACCGGTGAGTACAATTTTGAAATACATAATAGTATAACGTTTGTATGGCCCACGTACCTACTGGCTTATTCACGACATTGTACGTACACGAGCTGGATTCAACTTCTTTCATTTGTGTACGATCCGTTTCCGTACACACGATATTGTTTATTACTAGGTATATTATTATACACGCCATTTCCACCTTTACGCGTTTCGTGTTCAATATTAATACGAAATTTGTATTTCCGCTTGCCGTGTTCATATCCGGACATAGACTTAAACGCCTACGTTCGCTGCGTTTTAAACGACGATTTTTGCAGTTACGACTTGCAAGACCATAATATCGTATGTTACTTTTGTTTAGTTCATACCCAATAATAATATTATATACCTACCGTGTACAAATAATACAATTTATTGCATTAATTCTAAAAATAAACCCACAACGATTATTCACTGATAACATAGGTACTGATAAGATAATTCCATCACACGAACACGGAGTTTTACTCATATTATTTATTATAATATATAATATATAAAATGTTTAGCCATTACTTTTTCATATTATATTGTTATTATATAATATCTTTTTAGGCAAATATAACAATGGTCAATCATTGTGTGATTTGTGGCAACGTCGACGGAGCGAATGACGTTTCAATGCATGGGTATTTATCTAATATACCTACCTATTATACGTACTATTACGTACGATTAATTTTGAGATTTAAATACATAATAATTCATAATACCATGTTTGCATTAGATTTCCAGCAAACGTCGATCGGAGACGTCAATGGGTGATGTTCGCCGTGGACAATGGTGTCAATGCTCGACAGATATTGGCTCATTCCAAGCTGTGTTCGAGGCATTTTGTAGCAGGTCGTGATTACCACGGAGCAGCTGTACGTCGCCGTCAACTATTTGCTGGAGCAGTGCCGTCAGTAGTGAGTAACAACCGGCATAAAACCTTTGATCACTGTATTAATTCACTCACTTGATCATTACACTACTATGCTCACTAATACTGTGTGCATTAAAATATCACATATCATGTGTTTATTATTTCAATATACCCAGGTGGCAGGTATTTTACAGTGGCTACGGTTTGATACTATACTATAGGTACTTGCATTAAGTTATTGTTGTTGGTTAACATTCTGTATTAAATTATACTCTTTTTTAATTGCTTTTATTATAAATACTAATACAACTAATACTACTACCTACTACTACTACTACTATTACTAAGGAGTGTCTGACCTACGGTTAAAAATCCGTACATGCTTAATTATTCACTGTGCTCTTAGATACATATTATATACATTGTTTCTGTACATAACAGACTACTATACCTACCATACTATACTGGCTCGGTACAAAATTCTTCAAAACTAAATCTCTATTTTAATAAAGTAAATTGTAGAATAACTTGAACGACATTCTATTGTCTTACTGCTGTTTCAAATTTCAAATGCATATCTAACAATACTAACATATCAACATTTACTGTGGGTATATTGACCTAAACAGAACACTAAATAACCGAGGGGTAAACACCTTGGGGGTAATCAGTGTACAAGGTGATGGTAATAATTGTAGGAAATCACGGGTAATCATAGGTATAATCATTGAAATCAGTAATCTGCTGTACAAAACTTCTGTCAGGTATTTACCCCCAATATTATTTACTACTGATGTGTGTAATTTGATACATAGTGGTGATGGTTTAGGTGTACTTGATTTTATAACATTGAAGACCATGTATGATCTTATTAGTGTAACATAAACCTTGCATTCAACTTATAATAATTTCATATAAATGCACTTATTGCATATGAGTACATTCACTTACTGTTATGTATGAACACACAACCATTAAAAGTTCAACTCACTGTATTTTAACTTTTATTATGGGTATTTACAACCGATGAACAAAATACTTAAACATTTTCTTACATCTTACTACTACTACTACTTATACTACTTCTACTACTACTACCACCATTACTTACTACGTACCTAGGTCATTTGTAAGTTGTGTACTAGATATGTAGTATTCTTAAAAATAACACTTACTGTTATACAGTAATACGTTTTTACAATGTTTCAAAGTTATTGTTGTTAGAAAGATTATAACTGTATGAATGCGCAACCAATTATACATTCTTCTGTGAATTTCTTTGTTTTTTGATTGGCTCTTGATTTTAGATGTAAGAGATTTTATTAAGGTTAGGTTAAGCTTTGAGTATTGATTTGACGTTCAATGCACAAAAAAAATATTAGATATTTAATATTGTACCGACTATAAACTTAAGTTATAACTATCAAGTTATTGTGGTTGGATTTAATAGTTCATTCAACCAAACATATGTGTTTTATCATTGTGTTCAATATATTCTTTACTTTATGTATAGCGGTGATAGATATAGGTGTACTTGATCTTATCTCATTGAAGACATAAACCTTACATTCAACTTATCCTATAAATGCACTTATTGCATATGAGTGTACACAGTATAACACATGAGCACATTACACCTAACCAATACAAGATTATATTAAATATGTATGAACACACAACCATGAAAAATTCAACTCACCGTATTTTAACTTTTATTATGAGTGTTTACAAGCAATGAACAAAATACTTATACTATATTTTACTACTGACTTAAACTTAAACCGTCTACTCTCCTTTAATTGTTATCATTTCATACGTGGTACTCTTAGACACGTTTATGATATTTAAATGCCTATATAATTTCATATAAATGCATTTAACCATGCTACATTACCCTCAAACTATAGATTACCCATGTTTACATAACTGATATTGTATACTTAATATTGTGTTTACACAGTAAAATGAAAGTAATGATATACATTCTACTCTTGTTTTTATTATACGTTGTTACTAATACGTTAGTACAGCATAGATACATATTATATACATTGTTTCTGGACCTACTTATACTTTTCTATACTATACTGGCATATTATAATTGTATAGAAATTCAATTGTAGAACGACATTCAATTGTGTTACTGCTGTTTCAGGTTTCGATTGCATATCAAACACTGGGTCAAGCTTATTTTAATATCTACATTAAATTATAACTATACTAATATATCAACTTTTACTATGGGTATATTGACCTAAACAGAACACTTAACGTTTTCTTACACAGTTCTCAATACTACTACTACTACTACTTAGTACATAGGGCTACTCTCATTTATTTGTAAGTACCAATGATATAATTTCACATCCAATGACAATAAGTAGTGTCTAACCTACGGTTGAAATTTGTTACATGCTTAATTATTCACTGTGCTCTTAGATACATATTATATGCATTGTTTCTGTACACAACTCTTTGTGAATTGTATACTGGATTTCACATATTGTCTTATTGTTAGCAATTTATACAACTAACTTTGTTTGTACTACAGTGTAACATATTTACTACTATATTCTTCTTTTTATTGTTGGAAGTTAAAATTCTGTATTAAATTACACTTTATTTTTATTCATTTTGTTAACCTACGAAATAGGTAGTGTAAGTCACAGTTAACTCTCTGTTGGGTATTTACAACCAATGAACAAAATAATACTACTACTACTACTTACTACTGACCTAGGTATACTCTCCTTTGTTTGTAAGTTGTGTACTAGATAGGCATTTTATCATTTAACATGTGGTACTCTTAGAAATGTTTTTATTATTTCAAAAGTTAATACAATAGATTTGTTTACGTTTATTCCGTGTTAATATTCACGGTGATCTTAGATACATAGACATTATATAAATTGTTTCTGTACATAACTTAGGTTACTCTGCTATACCTACTTATACTTTACAATACTGTACTGGCTCAGTACAACATTCTTGAAAACTAAATGTCTATTTTATCATAAGAATTCCATTCAGCTTATTATATTCTAATTGTATGTATAGAAAGCAAATTGTAGAATAACTTGAACGACATTCAATTGTGTTGCCACTGTTTCAGATTTCAGTTGCATAACAAACGCTGGGTCAAGCTCATACATTGACTAAAATTTGATACCTAGATTAACGCAACTGAAGTGGCGGGCGTAACAATGTCTGCAGACTCTGTCCAGTGCACCCACGTAGTACCGCTCTGGAATTGGGTGTGTTACGCCCGCTTGCCGGTTTATCATTGGCACACGCCCTACAGGTAGTTCGACCACTACCACGTACTCAATATCTTCTACCGGGAAGTCGTCCTCC